TGACGGCGCAGTGGGTGGAAACTTACAGATTAATATTATAATGAGATCCCTTTGCCACGTCACCAAGTGAGCAAAATCAAACGCGCTCGTTTTCTCAGACGCTTGCAGAAAAAGGCTTACCAAAACAAAGTTACTAGGTTAATCTTTTTCATGTTTCCTTGGTTGGTAGATGCACCGGGGACCTGATTATAGCACTTAAAACCTGGAAAAGTCAGATTTTCATGATATGTCACCTTTAAGTTAAACTTTTATTTTCTGTGCACAACCCCTCCTGTTGGCTCAGAATGGAAGTGCAATGAAGGATCACATTCAAACAGGCAACTTCGAAGTAAAATGCAGAACAGCAGAAAAGTGAAAGCTCAAAGAAAGTTGCTTTGTTACCATGCATCAATTTTTATTTTTTCATTTTTTTTAAACAAGTCATCTGGAGGGATGGGTGCAATCCTGATGTCTTCGTTTCTATGCTGCATTTTTACTGACTGTCAAGCAGATTCTTTGCAACACAGAAGTAAGCTATTTTCTGTGAATGTGCAAAACTTCCGATTCCTTAGCTGCTATAGGTAAATAACTAACAAAGTGTCACCATAAACGGTAAAACTATTTGTGCTACAAACCAATGTATTTATGATTATAATAATGAGTGAAAACAATTTAATAACAAAATACCAGTTTGCAATTTATAACCGCATAACAAACTGTTACATAACTGAAGCAAATGTTACTGGAACCTTTGCACAAAGTTACAAACTGCCGCACTTACTCTTACGTTAAAAATGGTAGATAAAGCAGCATTATATTCAGATAAATTTCCTACATGTTTGGAACAAAATGTTTATTTCTTGCACCTATGTAAAGAAATTATAAAGTCTTAAAAATTAAATGTCGAAAACTGATGTTTTGCATGTATTGATTTTATTTGAATATAGGCCTCAATAGTAATCAGAAAAGTGCACAAAAGATGTTTCTCGTACTTTCTGACTGTGCTCACAGTGACAGACATTTAGTCATTTTTAGTTATAGGGTACAAAATACTGTAGAAGAGAATATATGGGTTTGTCGCAGGGCCGTATAAATATCCTATTTAATGCAATGCATTGTAATTCAGTTTAATCAGTTTAAACTAGACATGCTCATGGAGCCCAGGGGAGGGGGTGGAGGCCAACCTATAAAAACCTGATCCTGGGCCCTGTGCATAACACAATCCATCTGTTCTTCCGTCATTCAAAAACATCCTCCTCTTGTTTGTCTACAGACTTATCCATCACTTGCACACTTCCCTCCGTAGCTACGAGTTTCTTCCCCGTCTCACTGGCGGTGATGATGGTGGTCTTTGTGCTTTTGGTGATGGTGGCAGTGCTGCTGGTGAGGCTGCTAGCACTGTCACCCTTAACTTCCTGCTTAACCAGACCTGTTTTCTGAACATCTTTCCCAGAATTTTGGGATGAGACACTTGTAAGGTGGCTGCTTTCAAGGTCGTAGTTCAAGGCTAAGAAAAACGATATCAGAGCACTTTCACAAAAGCTGCACCTTACATATATGCATACATATATGGTGTGAAATATTTCAAAAAGCATATATGTGTATAAAAAGAGATGCTTTATATGAATAAAGTAACTCACTGTGTGGTTTAGAGATGGTGAGAGTCTGGAATGAACCATACAGTCTGCGAAGGAACACAATAAATACATGACTTCCTTAGGAATCCATTGTAATTCTCTATTCTGTTTCAATAAACAAGCACTCAAGTCTGAAGCGGCACCCACCTGCTCTCTTCTCCTTCCAGGAGTTTCCTATAGGTGGCGATCTCAATGTCCAGAGCCAGTTTTATGTTCATCAGTGACTGGTACTCACGCACCTGACGAGCCATATCCTGTTTAGCTCTGAGAAGAGCTGCTTCCAGCTCCTGCAGACGCAGTTTTGCATCTTTCACAGCTAGTTCACCTCGTTCTTCTGCCTCTTTGATCTGTGCCTCGTGGTTTAAATGCTAAAATGAGACGAGACAAAAGATTACATACTTCCCACACTCTGACATATAACTTAAGATCAACTGGGATTAATTGAGATCATCTCAAAACAAATCACATATAATGCACTTTACCTAGATTTACTGAAAGAATGATCGCTTTGTTCTTGTCAGATTTCACCAAAAATAATCAAGCTCTAAGTATGCTGCGCATTGTTTACTGACATTTTGACACTTTTTTTTGTTTTTGACAGTTGAGTTGACATTGAATAGTCAAATTGTCACCTTTATTTATACAGCACTTTATACAATAGACTGTTTCAAAGCGGCTTCACAGTAATAAAAACGAAAATAACAGAATCAGTGATGCAGGCTTCAAATATGACATACATTCAGATTCTGCTGTAAAGCAGCTTTAGACAATAGAGTCATTATTAATCAGCTCAAGTCAGTTCAGTGTTGATTAGTTCAGTTCAATAACTACGTAAAGTTCATTAATTATGAGTAATTATGAGAAATGAGTTCAAATCAACTATAGAAGGCAATAGTGTTAAATAAAGTTCTTACCTGTCCCTTAACAAGTTCCATCTCAGAGTGTATACGTGCAATTCTTCGATTGTACTCTGCGATTTCAGCCTTTGAGCTTTTCAGGTCATCCCCATGTTTGGTTACCGTCAACTGCATTTCTTCATACTAATATTTTATAGCACACATGAACATTCACATAAAGACCCATACACATGAACTCATATTTACAATTCATTTGAGCATCTTTCGAAAAGCTTGAATATTACAATGCAAGCAAATAAGCACGTTTAAACATGCAATGCAAGAAAGTTAAGTCACCTTTTGTTGGTACCAGCTCTCTGCTTCAGCACGGTTGCGGTTGGCAATCTCCTCATACTGAGCACGAACTTCAGCCACAATGGCGTCCATGTCCAGGTTTCTGCTGTTGTCCATCTCTACAACAACTGATGTGTCCTTTATCTGAGTCTGGAGCTCACGGAGCTCCTGTACACATGGAACAAGAATTATTGTGAACAGTCCTGTTCATGCCTCCATTTACCACTGTTTTTTTAAAGGGTTTACATTGCTTACACACCATAAGAGTTATAAGTGCTTAAGAGTTATGTTTTACTATCAGTTAACACAACAAATTCTATCTGCATAGTGAATTACATGACTATATTAAAATATTTATTTGAAATGTGAAGGGAGTGATGGTACCTCCTCGAAAATCTGCCAAAGGAAGTTGATCTCATCTGTTAGGCTGTCCAATTTACATTTCAGCTTCACTTTATTCAGATACGCACCGTCAGCATCCTAACATAGGCACAGTGAAAAATATATATCTAATAATGTCATTATAATCAGTTTTTAAAAGTACATGATCTGTGTGTGCTTTTACATTATGTGCTGACCTTTTTAAGGAGCACAAATTCGTTGTCAGAGTCACTCCGTTTGTTAATTTCATCTTCATACCTGAGGAGGAATGTACAAAGTTTGTTGGAATGTGTGTGTGGAACATCCTTAAACACTTTAGTTTACAAGCATGCAAGATTTAAGTGCACTGTGTACACTGTGCAGACGTTTCCAGTGATCTCACTTGCTCTTGAAGTCTTCTACCAGGCTGCCCATGTCCCGCAGGCCAGACTCCAGACGCACTTTCTCATTGCCTAGACCATCCAGCTGTCTGCGCAGGTTAGCAATGTAGGACTCAAACATAATATCAATGCTGGTTTGGCGGCTCGTCTGTTCCTGCAGGAGAGACCACTTAGTCTCCAGCATTTTGTTCTGCTGTTCCAGGAAGCGCACCTGGGGAAAGACAAAAAGAGTGTGAAAAAAAAAGAAAGCAACATTTTCTTATGGTAAATGATAATGCATACATGTGTATAGATAGTCGTCAGATTACATGGACATTAATGTTTTTCATGACTTAAATTTTTTGAATAAAATTGAGATGCCATATTGAATATAACATGGATGAAAACAAGGCTGTGAGGGACCAATGTCCAAGCCATTACTGTATAAAGGTCCTAATTTTTGTCTACTAATT